GCAGTTAACATCTCCCACATTCAGCTAGTTAATTCTTGTGTAAAATGGATTGGTTTCAATCTTACATGTCTGTTAATATTGGAATGTTTCTTTCTTGATTGACCTTGTTTTCTTTTGTTCTGTTATTCACTTCAGAGGTGCCAGAAATACAGCCTTAATTATGTTGCTTTGTAATCTAATCCAGCATTACTAGTTTGCAAACAAGCAGAAGGTATCTTGTTTTTATGCTCTAATTTTGTGTCCCTGTATCACACAACTGTGTTCAAATTTATAGATTGTACTAAGTAGTGAGATAGAACAAAGATCAGGTTGTGACTTTTCTCTGTATTTTCTAGCTTTAATGTAAATGTTTTGATGACATTTAAGCTTTCAGCATACAGGTACTATTGGAACGATGACCAAGCTTCCTTTGAACGATTCTTGCATGTTGTCAGACAATGTGTGGTGTTATGAGGTGAAGACGTATCCTGCAGTTGTTAAGGCTCAGCCCCAAAAAACCCCTTTTATTTTGACTGCACCAGTGCTGGAGTCCAGCATTTGGTCAGCACCAGGCACAGCTCTTAGCACAGCTTCTGGAGGGGCCGTCATAAAGGTGGTATTTTCCCCTTCCACAACCTGCAAATCCACTCTCTTCCAAGCTTGATTGGACCTTTAAAGAGGTATCTTCTGTCTCCTGTAGGCTCATCTGCTGATTCCATCTATCAGCAAGGCATTTCATGTGTCTCTCTGAAACATGGCTTGCTGTGCTTCTAGAAGCACACCTATGCATTCAGAATAGGGCTTAATATCCATAATTTTTACCCTAGAGTAGGCTTTTTTAATCATTGAGTAAACTTCAGTTTTTATCCTAGCCTACAACTTGTTAATTTCTGTCTGGGGTAGCAGGAAAAAAAAGTTTCTGCAAATTCATAGATAGGGACATGGGAATGAAATAAAAAGATGTTATTTTAAACTTTTTATTTTTCCTGAAGATATCATCATATATCTAAGGGACGCTATCTTACGTCACTGTATATAGCTACCTTGTAGATGGCAAAAACTGAGCCCTTAAGTTCATGCAAGAATGTCAGTGGTGCGTACAGAAAGCAGTGAAAACAAAGGAGATATTCTCCTTTCATTCTCTAATAAGAGAAAATGTAGGAATTAATACTTAAAATTAATTTTTTAAAGCAGGAAAAGTTATTTCCCTATCTGTGGAAAAAGTTAAATTCATGAAAACAGATATTACACTTTTCACCAGAAAACAGATGTATCCTAAATCATGCTTTTATGTACTAGTTAAAATACTTGGTCTGAGCATAAAATCAGTAGCTTCTTTATGTTAATAGATGGGTGTATGTTTTCTGCTGCCTTTTACCTGTAGCTTAAAGGTGATGGAAAGACATAGTTTTTATACTTGTTTGAAATTGGATCTTTTTCTTCTGTTACAATTTATTTCAGCCTAACGCTTCCATTTGCCTTGGCAACCCATCACTAATGTGTGTTTCTACTATTGAGCTGTCTTTCCTTATCAAAAAGTATGATTTTTATCATCCCTTCTCTGAGGAGCGGAAAGCTGAAGATTAGTGTTCTATCCAGAAGTTTAGCATTCTTACTGTCTCCCCAGCAGTGAAGAGTGTATGTGAAAGTTAACTCTTACGTACCAAATCAAAAATGTTTTCAGCCTTTCTCTTCCCAAATTTAGTCTTGAAAAGTTCAAATACACTGTTTTCATTACTTTTTCTAAACAATGTGACAGGCTGAAGCCTGTGGAAATAACCACAAATAATGCCCCAAGAAGGTCTAACCATTTACATTAATGACAGAAAGAACAAACAATCTCCAAGAAGGCTGGACTTGCTGTTCTAGAGTATGTGATTATAGTAATACGCTTTCTTTTTTTCTTCCCCCAACCCCCTTGATTGAATTTAAAAAATACTGTCTCAGACTCAGGTAGAGAACTTCCTTAGATTGCTGGCCTTAGAAATTGAAACGCTTTGCTGTCCTGGTTCCCTGTTGCTGCTGTGTTATCAGTGAGCTCCTTCTGTGTATGGTTTTCTGATGTGGTTCTTGGTGGTGGTTGCCTCATGACCTTCATGTGCATTTCTTCCTGCACTCCCACCTGTCTGCTCTTGAAGATCCAGAGGTCTGGGACTTACAAAAAGCAAGTAACAGGTTTTTTAGAACACAAACTTCTGGGACCTGAAGCTTTCAAGAAAGCAATGGGGAGAGGTCCAGGGTATCATATGTAAATGGTTTCATGTCGACTACAGTTTAAGCCTGTGCTCTAGATAGTACCTTTGTGAAAATTCTGACCCTGATGGGGAGCAAAATTTGTCTTGATTAGCACTTCTGAAACATGTTGTTCAGAGCTCTGCAGCAGTGGGCTTATGTGACAGATTTAACTTCACCTTTAGATTGACTTCTTTGGTGGGTGGCTTGTTTCCTTCTGGTCAGCTGTTGGTATGGCTAACAGTCCAGGTGCTAGAATTGTCATCCCAGCCACTTCTATCATAAGAGATCTGAATTGATCAGTGAAGGTATATCGTGGTGATTGTTTTAACTTTCTTTTTACAGCGAAATATTACAGAGAATTATTATGGTTTGTGCAACGGAATTGTGTTCACATATATCTGACTTAAGTATTTAGGTATTTCAAACTAACAAAAAAATCCTGTCTTTCATGTAGAAACTATATGCTCAAATAATTTAACTATTTCTGGTGGTAATTCATAGTAAGCAAATTGAGATGAAATGAAATGAATGTGTGACCAGGGTACATGATGTTTTAATACATGAGGAGAGATTAGGATAGTATGTATGTCATCTTAAGAAAATGAGATCAAAAGTTTTTTCCATTTAGCTTGGTTATTCAAATTGTATTAAAAACTTCATCACGTATGATAATCACATGAGTTAATAATTTTATTTCTGATTTTTCTCACAGCTGCAAGAGAATCCATCTGGTTAGAAAGAGAAGAGAGAGCCCGGCAACATTATGAAAAACACCTAGAGGAACGCAGAAAGAAGCTAGAAGAGCAGAGATTAAAGGAAGAGAGAAGGCGAGCTGCCGTAGAGGAGAAGAGAAGGCAGAGAATAGAAGAAGATAAGGTAAGAATAAATGTCATAAAAACACTTTTCAGCTTGTTTTTGCCATAAGATAGGTACTACCAAACTTTTTCTTTAAGAGTTGATGGAAAGAATGCAACATGAGCCATGGTCAAGTATGAGAGTGCATGCAAAAGAGGATTTTAATCCCTATTTGCACAGATGCTGCTTCTTAAAATGCCTTTTATGAATCAAATGCGGTGAAGTTGAGCATGTCTGCATTACAGTGTATGGCACTGTACAAACTCATGCAGAAAAATACAAATTGGGTTGGGTTTGGATGGTTATCTGTTAATTCTTAGCCATTTAGTATGAGGGTAGATAAATATTAGTTGCCCTAACAAAATCTTTAAGGAAGTGAGTGTGTGATGAAATATGCTCTTGGCTGGTTTGACTTGCAGTGTGATCCTATGAAAGTCAGCTCATCCTTGATTTTTTTTTTTTTTTTTTTTTTTTTTGTTTCCTCTTTCTCCCGCTGTTCTAGTATTTAGTAGGTGGGAGATACAAGGTGGGAAGAAGCCCTAGGGCATAGTGGCTGGGGAAATTGTTTTTTTTCTCTGCAATTCTGCAGGTTTCAAACAGATCTTACCTTTTCAAAATTACAGTTAATAGTTTAACTTATTTATGGCTTAATTACTGCTTAATCCTGTTCTAGATTTAGAACATTTAGATTATTTTAGGATGGTTCATCTGTCTGTGTGTCTTAATAGGCAGCATGTAAGCTTGAACACAACTCCAAGATGCCTGCTAGGTTTTGTCCGTGTGGAGGGTAGCAGGGTTTGGTGAGAAGATTAAGTTAAAAACCCAATAGTATCCAAATGTATTATCCTGTTGTACTTAAGGAACGACATGAAGCTGTTGTACGTCGCACAATTGAAAGAAGCCAGAAGCCAAAACAAAAGCAAAACAGGTGGTCCTGGGGAGGAGCACTACATAACCGCATTAATAACACAGGTAAAGAGGGAGGCTTGGTTTGCTAGCCAGTTTCCCTGCCCTGCCAGCTAACTGGAATTTACTTTGCTTCTGTTAAAAGGAAGGATGGTTCGGTGTATGCTGGTTTATATGCTGGTTTAAATTCTTTGCTCTTGATCTTACTATTGCTAGCAATGGCACGTTTCTGACATTCTTCTGTAGCAAAAAGATAAGGAGAGCTCTGAACAAAAGTTAAAACTTGTTTCAGGAGTTGACTAATTCTGTAACTATCTTGCTACAGCTTCTCGCTTCTGCTGCTTTGCTGTTGTTTGTGTGTGTATGTGTGGGTGTGCTTGTGCTGTGTCAATGTTGTGATATGAGCTACTGTGTGCAAATGCAAAATATCTTGGCTCAAAAGATAGGTCTGGTGGAAATGACCAAATACTGAGATTAAAACAAACACAAGAAAAATCATTCTTTGTAATAAGCTATCTGTACCTTGTACAGGTATTTTGGGAGATAGAAATCCCTTTTTTCCCCCTAGAAAAACTTAGATGGGCAAATTAAGTTTAAGTGAATTTTAGCTACATGCTTTTTTCCCCAATTACCTTCTCTAACTTAATCTGCCAATCATTAATGTGTATATGCCCTGTTAAATATGACTCAAAACCAAAAAAAGAGAACTTGTCCTTTACTTCTTTCACCAGAAAGTGGTACTTAGAATTCTTCTCTTCTTACTCTACTGTATACATTTTAATGTGTCCAACCTTTCATCAAGGAGGAAAAGCATGCTCTGAAATCTGTCATACAAGTTCAATAAACAGTTATTTTTTTATAAAAGGTTACTTTTTTGCTTAACTCTGTTTAACTTATTTGATTTTTATTTTATTTATTGTGAAAAATCATTGTCTTGCATTCTGTCCCTAGGTTATTTTTTTGAATCATCATTCACCTTTCTCGATTTAGCAGGCCTGGAGCACCACTTCAGATCTCTGGGTGGTGCTAGAAAACCTGGTACATAATTGCTGTGGTTTGTTGATTCCTTTACCCATAGCTAGTTCTCAGGAAATGAGATCATCAGTAACTAAACCACCCTCATGTAGTTGCAATGCATGCTTAACATCATGCTGATAGATTAGAACTGTTGTTAGTACCAGATTTTTTTCATTATTATTTATTTTTACTATGGAGAGTTTCTACTGGCTGACTCTAAAGACTTGGCACAACTCACTGAAATTGAAGCATTAATGCTCTGTCTACTAGAATTCAAGGAGACCCAGTTTGAATATTTTGGTCTTCTCTAAAGCCCTTTCGGCATACTACAGATATGCAGGATTTACATTTATTTTGCACATGAACACAGACATGTAACCAGCTGCATTGTCTGATGTGTTGCTCATGGATATTTTAATTCTTTTTTTAGAACAAATCTTCTAGGCAATGGATTGCTTTCGGCCTATTCTACATTTATAGGATTCATATTGCCAACGCTTACACACAAATCCTCATGCTGAATTTCATTCATTTAAATAATGTTCATAGACACAAGAGAAAAGTCTGCATGCCAAATACAAGAGTTCTTTTTTCATATTGTCATTTGTCATCTTCAGAAACCCGTTTTACATAGTACATCCTGTGTGCCAGATGCAGAAACTTTTTTTTGCTCTACTGATGTAGTACACGTTTTCTCAGCTGTAATTTGATATAAGAAATTTTTTTTGAGAGAACAGGAAACATAGCTGTCCTGTTCAGCTCGTTCCTCCTCTTCTGCCATTGCTAGCAACCTTCATGTGACACACGCCCATGCACAGAGTGCATGCAGTCTGTATTCTTGAAATAACCATCACCCCCTCAGTAAGGGTGCAGATGCTGACTCTCCAGCAGTTGCGCAGGCAGATGGTGTAATGCTGCTCTAAAATGTACAGAACTTAAAAGCAAAATAAACCCCTTTAGGATTATGTACCAAGCATGTGCATTACAAGTAGTCTCTAGCCTTCCACAGAGATTCATTTTCTTTATCTGCTAAGCTGCGTGCTCTTTTAGATTGACTAACTTACAACTTCATTCACAGCAGGTAGAAAATGACTCCGTGGTGGGAAGTTTAGTACTTATACATAACTATGGGATTTTTTTACTGAATCTTTTAATTCTTTTTGTGCTTACCCTTGCTTCCCTTGTGCACTAGTCTTCCCTTAATCTGTCAGCATTGTATTGTCATGATACTGACCTTCTGCTTAGTAACAGTGCCCTGTCAAATGTCACCTTTTATTGAAGACTTTTTTATGAATAACCTCACATTTCTAAGCATATTGATCCTTCCCTGAAGCTTTCTATTTTAAGTCATGAGCAAGGTTTTTCTGAGAATATTGAAAGGAATGAGGAAATACCAACTTGTCTACCAGTATCCACTTCAGATCCTCCATTAAGTCTTTTGATTGCAACCTGATTGAATGATAATCAATGAACAGAATATTTTAGATATTTGAAACTCAAACGGGTTTGTGCCCAGTCTTTGAGTCACCTGTACAACGTCTGCTGAGAAGTCCATTCTGTTTTGAAAGTTCTCGTGGTAGAGCAGGAGTGACCTGGTCATGTTTTCCTCCTCCCACTAGTGAGCTAGGAACTTGCACTACTGCATGTGGGCTGTCAATTAGCATTATCTCCATTTGTTTTAGATCCAGACAGGCGGTCTGTTTCAACAATGAACCTTTCGAAACATGTTGATCCAGTCATTAACAAGCGGCTCTCCTCCTCATCTGCAACATTACTAAATTCTCCAGACAGAGGTACAGTTTCAAAGAAAAAAAAAAAAAAAAAGGAATGGCAAGAAAGAATGTTCTATATTGATGTATTACTTTGCACATAAAACAAGCTTCTGAAGTCATTTTCTGTACTTTGTCAAAAGGGAGTGAAAAGACTTCAAATGTGAAAAGTAAATGGTTGAACATTTTTTCCTGTGAGAAGAAATACTTATTTCTTGTTTTTAAAACAAGAGAACTTACCTAAACAATTTTACTTTAGCAAATGATAAAAGCAGTGCTTCTGTCAGGTTTTTAGTAAATGAGGTACAACTATTGAGAGAATACATTGCTCCATAGTGCATGTGATCATGTGTGACCTTTTATTTGCATTAGGCCATTTTGTCATTATTTTGTTTTCCTTTCTTCTTTGGTAGTAGTTCTTGAATATCTAAGAACATGTTGCATGAAGCTTTCAAGTAGTTATTTTATTACCATTTCTGATTATTTTTATCGAAGAGGTGTGGGTGGTTTTCACATGGTCTGTTTATTGACTTCTTGTGTCCAGTTGTTTTTCAAAGTTTCTTTTATTTCAGTGTATGTTTTTGATGTTTACAACTCCGTGCAAATGATAAACAACCAAGCTTTTAAAAATTAATGTAGCTGAATTGCTGCCTCTGTTCTGAGGATTTAAGAGATTGAAGCATTGAGCTTAAAGGAGTTTTATAAAAGAATGTCTCTTGTATGACTTGTGCAAAGAGCTTTACAGAAAAGTACTTGGGAGGGATTTTTTTGTCCTCTACTGAGAATGAGAAGTTCTGTCTGATTTCAATCCGGACAAACGTATGTTTACAAAAAAAATTTTTAGAATGGAATTTTGGTTGTGTTGCAAAACTGATTGGTAGATGTCATTATTTGTGTGTCTTAACTAAGTGCCAAGTTTTATGTGCATGCTTGTACGTGTGTATCTGGTTGATTTGATGAGCCACGTTAATCCTAGCGGGCTAACCTAGTTGTAGAGTCTGGTAGCTTGTGAAAAATACAGCATTATGTTAGGAAACAACTTATTCCAAAACTACAATAATTTTTTGCTCTAAATGTTGAAATCCAGTCAGTTTTAATTTTATCAGCTTTAGAGGTGTATATATATTTTTTTCAGATGGTTGCTGTTCTTTGCCAGGGGATGCTTTGCAGAGGCAGTGGGGAGAAATGGCAGCAGGCGTTAAGTGTGAAGGATAGTCCCTTATGGACTATAACTCATTATGTGATAGTTTCTGCCACCCAATTCAAAATCAGGAGAAGTTAGACTGAATATTAGGCTGTGTGGTGGTGGGGAAAGGGAAGGAATATGAAAGCGATGGTCATACATAAAACACTTTAAATGTTGAGGCATTCTTTCTTGACATGTTCGTTAAAACAGTACAGAACTCCTCAGAAGTCTCTTATGTCTTCTACTCGAAGACTTGTGCAAAGTCATATACCTAAATCTAGTTGAGCATGTACTGAGAAGTGCCACTCTGTCTCTCCAGTAGCCTGGAGGCAAATGCCTAAAGGAAGGCTCTAACTGCTCTCCATTTCACCTTCCAGAGGGCACCCAATCACACTTGGTCTGTAATGCATACTCCTACCTGCAGAACAGCAAGCTGGAGATGAGGATGATAAGCTTACCCTAAGTGGCTTATAGCTGTCATCAAGAACACGTCTTCTGTTAAGTAGCACCTTTTTGCCATTTGAAGGACTTTTTTTTTTTTTCCTTCTTCCCCAGCAAAAGACAAAAGTTTTCATTAACTGATTGCCTAAAAGACTGGTTAATTCCTTCTGAAGTGTAGTATTGCTATATAGCTCTCCACCCCAATTTTATAATTGGGCAGCTAGAACAGGCTTCTCATTATGCTTTTATGTTAGTTTCAACTACTCAGACCCGTACCACTGTAACATGAACATATTCAAGTGGAGAAAGCTTCTGCTGACCATTAAATTTTGGTAATTATGCTCTTTAAGGAAAGCTTAGCAAGTGGATAAAACTTTAAATGAGATATGAGTTACACACTTTCTTAGCTTTGAAGAGCAAAACTTGCACCATAGTTTTGTTCCTCCTCTTCTCTGCAGTGCTTTTTCTTTCAAAGAGGTGATGGTCTCAATCACTGCATCACCTTTGTCTGCCACCTTTATAGAAGAAATTCAGGGGCTCCAGTATTGTTTCCTATAGAAAGAGGTTCTAAACAAGAGTATTTTTTCCCCATCTACTCCTCAGCATGTTTGCAGCTCTGTTATGAGCAAATACCACTGTTATCATTGAGAGTCTGCTTCATGGTGCCCATCAGGAGACCTGTTAAATCCCTGCCTCCCATCTGTTCCTAGAACTAATCAGATGCTGCTGTTTGCTTACTTGCAATTTATTCTGCTACTGCTAAGACAATTTACCAGTGTTCAGTTTGTGTATCCTGAAGACAAATACAGATGACTAATAAATTCACTGTTGCCAGCTCCCTGGGACTTTGTGTGTTTTTCAGTTGCAAGTTAGGCTATAAAGATCTCCTTTCATCTGTTTAAACCAACCTGCTTGTAGCTGAGAGTGGGGGTACTTGCACTTACTATCACGAACATGCTTCCTGTGTGGAAACAAGGTGCAAACAACCCTAAGAGTGATAGTCTAACACAGCATGAGATCAAAAATATAACTTCCCCTTTTCTGTCAGATGGTTTGAAGGACTAAATCTTGAAAACACCACCCTAAGGTGTTGAAAAGAGCAGGGGAAAAAACCTAGGACTCATTGTTTTAAAGTCAGTCTTACTATTTTGTGATGCTCTCTGTTTCATATTCAGTTTGCTTCAGTGTGAATTGGATCCCAAAGTTAAGTTGTTCAACTCATTTAGATGTTAATACTCTTGTACTTGTAACTCAGTGGGCAAAAGTTTATTTGGCTGTTCTAGGTTAATGGTGATGCTAATGACTGTTGGCATATGGATTGAAAGTGTCAAATGTGATGCTTTCGGGGAGCTGTGCTTCTGGAAAACTCAGTATGTGATGACCTTGATCCACAAAGCCAAGGTGTATTTAAAAGAACCGTGATCTAAACTTGTTTTAGAGATTTAGGAAAACTTCACTCAAAGCGCCTGGCTAAAACTATTTTGGCACCTCTGAATCATGTCTGTTGCTTATATGGAGAAGAAAGTTTTTTTGGTGCCTATCAGTCAGGTAGCTCGCTCCCGAACACTGCCTCGGTGCTGTTAGTTGGATGCCGTGGGCACATGATTGCTTCCTGTAGGTGATGTGGATATAAGCTCCCCTGTGTTAGGGGCAAAGAGAATTGAACCATACTCATAGGGCAAACGACGTGGGATAGGTGAGACATGGTAATTTAGTGTTTGAAGTCATCAGTCTCTTAGCTGTGTCCTCTTGAGACTGCTTCATCTCTGGGGCCTAATGGGTCTGTGGCTGGCACACAGGGCCATATTGTGTTGTGATATTACTTATCAGCTGTTTGCAGCTGTGCAGATGAACTCCAAGAAATTGATACTATGCATATTACTGATTTATTGGCCTAAAATTTCAGGGCTTGCTTTCTGAAGTTGTGAAATCTTTGTGTTAAACTATGGTAGAAGAGTTTCTCCAGACTTATCCATACTCATGCCTTTGAGCTTCGCCTAGTAGAGCCTGAGACCACAAAGAAGAATCTGCTCTCTTGCAACAGTAGCTTTAAACAGTCATCATACTGAGCGTGGTGCCTGGAGAAGAAAGGAAGCAAAGGCTTTGCTATTATTGCATCCAGTTTAATGGTAGTTCTGTGATTTTTCTTCATTGTTAAATTACAAGCTTAATGATAACGTGTGCTGTAATGGAGGTCTCTATAGGGTATTTTGTGTCTCTGTATAATCCGTACCAATGCAAAATGGAACCATTAATCACAAAGAGCTCTGGCAGTAGTACATTGTGAAAAGACACTTATCTAGAGAGCCTGCTGTGTTTGAGTGTCCTATATTTCTATAGCAATGCCCCTTATTGAGTTAGCAGAATTTAGGGGAGCAATTTGAGAAGTGAAAAACAGCACTAAGGGCGGATTAGGCAATTACATTTTCAGAGGATGAGATTGAGATTGGCCCCTCTTTTTGTGGGGCTCAGCATGGAGTAGATTAAAGACAGATTCAGAGTTCATGGCTATTAAAAGTGATGGATCTCTACCTTTAAAAATGCAAATTAATCTCAAGTTTATTACAGCTAGTCACTTCAATGACTGTTTTAGAGACTGTGCCTCATAAATTCAAGCTGCAGTTTTGTTGCCATAAACACCGAACTAAGGCCAATGAATGCTCAGACGTAAGAAGACCTGATTTCACTTGCAACATCAAGATTATTGCTATGGTCTAAGCTTATTATAACAAACTACTGTGGGAACTAGTTGAATGGCTTGTTTCGTGATGTTCACTATAATACAGTTTGTTGCATCAGAGTATCAAAGAAACATCTGGTTTAATATAAGAAATTACTTCTGGGGCTCTTGATTACCATTTCACCATGATCAATGCTTAAATAGTATTTTTTAAAAAGAAGTTTTACAAGGCAAAAGTAGTATTTTGACAAGCTAAGTTTGCATTAGGCAGTATGCGGGAAAGCAAGGCAAGGGAGTGATGGCAGCCAGGTCAATGTGCAGTGTGTTTTCAAAACAGACTAACAGTGCAAAAAGTTGGCTCTTGTTACTGGTCTAAATTGAAAATTATCATTAGCAGGATTTTTTTGACAGAGGGTTAATGATCAGATGTACTTACTATATTCTGTGGCTTCATGTATTACTGAGACAACTAGCTGCTGAGCTTGGTATCTGCAGTTGAGGCACATTGTAGCCTTTTGCAATGCTTTGACAAAACCTTTCTTTGATGCGGTTCTCTGTATGGTAGTAAGCAACCTCTGTTTTTTCTAGCTAGGCTGTCAGACTCTAAAGTGTTTTAGTAATTTAGTAAGTAGCTTTTTTTTATAGCTAGAAGACACGTACCTTATGTGTAGAAAGAGCTTGGGACACAAGCATCTCTGATAAAGTCTGTATTTAGGAGTGGCAACTGCTCTCCTAGTACAGAAGTTATCCTATCATCCCTAACAGGGAATGTGGCATGTGTGCAAAATATCAGTATTAATTTGATAACAATTTGCCATCATGCCGCAGACAGTAACACAAATTGAATGTTCGGATACATGTGTTCCTATAGGAATTCCTCAACTAAAATGGAGTAAGAATAAATACAAAACACTGATTGCATGCTTTTGATTTCTGAAGGACAGTGTCAAGATTTTCATGGTATGTAGTAACGAGGAGATAACAATACTTCTGCAACGTGTAGTTATTTGTGAAGTGTTTGATCTAACATCTTGCTTGTATGGTGCACATTCAGCTCGCCGTCTACAGCTCAGTCCATGGGAGAGCAGCATCGTTAGCAGGCTTCTGACGCCCACTCACTCATTTCTGGCCCGAAGTAAAAGCACAGCTGCGTTGTCTGGAGATGCAGGTAAACCTCTAAGAACAGAGGCCTCATGTCTCAGCTGCTTGTTTTTCCAGATTCCCTGTGGGATGTTGTAAAATTATTGATCTAATTGAGTGTATGGTAGCATCCCAGAATGAGCTTGAATGTCCATGATTAACACTGCATGACAGCATGAAAGCTTGTTTGTACACTTGTTTGCTATGCCTCTTTCTCCCACCACCTCTTTCTTAATTTCTTTTGCCTTGTCATTAATGCAATAAATGAATACAACACACACAGGGCAACAATGTTACGCTGTCCGTGGCTGTTTAAGGAAATGCCCACAATTCTGTAAAGAGCTGGTTCAGCACGCCCACTGCTAAGGCTGTGAGCTGCTTGCTGCAAAAAATAGTTTCACTCTATACCTGGGCACTTTCCACATGGAACACGTTAGACTTGCAGAAAGATAGGCCCTGGTTGCAGTGGATTTAATAGCGCATGAAGTTAAATGTGAGGGTTTAGTGAGGTTACAATAATTGTGAAGTTTTCTGCCAACCCCAGAATAGCGCTCTGATGTACTACTGAGGGGAAAATTAACATACAGAAACGTGAAAATATTGCTAGGTGGTAACTTAAAGCCCAGACAGAATGGTATTCCAGTGACAACCAGGCCATGCTTGCTTATCGTGTGTTTTAGGCAGGTGACAGCTGCCTCTTCTTTTTTCATGTTTTATGATCATGCACTGGGGACTTTACCATAACAATAGGATGTTGCTGCACATGCTGAATGTTTAAGTGTAGGCAGGTCTTTCCTGTTTGATATGGACAGGATTTTTATTCTAATTAAAGGACATAGAAGGTAAGAAGGAATAGAGATCTGCTAAGATTACTTTTAAAGAAGCTTTCACCTAAGAACTCTTATAACTAATTAGACTGCAGTGCATTTCCACAAGGGTAGTGCTGTAGGAGCAAAAATGTGGGCGATATTCTGCAAACAGTAGAATTAACAAGTACAAAATTCCTTTTCACTTTTCACCAGCAGCTTGTAAAATGAATACTTAAGATCATCTACCAAGCAGAACACTAGAAGTTCAGCTCTTGATTAGGGAATAGTTAAGAAAGCAGTGACTTAATTTTCTAAGTGGTTACTTTACTGGAGCAAGCGTGAAGACTTTTTTTGTGACTGCTGCTGTTCATGCTGCACAATAAGCTCTAAACTGAGTGGAATACTGAGAAAGATTGCAAATATCAGGAATGACTGGTTTTGTCAGTCGTCAGTCTGAGGTAATTCCCCTGAAATGCCCTCCCTATGCTAAATGGAACTGTACCACCCAGAAGAATAACCCATCTGCTCATTGTTTTCCAGGTATTATTCTCTAGGAGCAATAACTGCAGCCCCTTCATGCAGGACCCTTCCTGGAGATTAATGATCAGGTGGTGATAATGGCTCACAGCTGTGCTCTGAGCACTCGGCTCATCCCAGCCTGTCATTATTCCCTAGAAAATTACCCTGCCCTTTCCCTGTGAAGATAAATCACAATGCAAAAAAAATCAAAATCAAATTAAATATGGATTCATGCCCTTAAATTTTAAGTGAGCTATTAGGGACATCTAGCATAAGAGTATGTCTGGATATTTTTTAAATAACCCTCCAAAACGTGTTTTTTAAATAACTCTCCAAAAGCTGCTCTGAATAGACGTAATCCTGTTGGCACAGGATTCACTGGAAGTGCTTCCTAAAGCATTGTTTAGTAACATCACAAATGAAAAGGAGCTGCTTGTCTTTTAATACTTACAATGTCATCCTTGGTGGTAACTTCAGGTAATCGGTGTGCAGCAAGAGAATTGATTCAAAGAGGGTGGGAATGACGTAAATTGTAAGCTGTTTAAAACATACATTGTACCACTGCCTCCTATCTGATTTAGATATACTCAACAACAAAAAAACCCCAAAACCACCCACAGACAAACCCCCCTGTTTTCTGTTGATCAGTATTTTCTTATTAAGTCAGTCTAATATGTTGTAAAACATAAATCTCTGTAAATGATAAAGGCAAGCGTGAGTGCCCTTGCTGTGACGCTTACATGAAGCGCTCTATTCATGATGTTAATCTCTCAGTGCAGGAGAATTTGCAGTGTTAGTACTGTTAAGTCTATGAGCTCTTCCTGTAATAGCAGCTGTGCTGTTGTAAGACTGGAAGAATTAACTGTATGTAAAACTGTGTTCTTTCAAGTGTGCTCAGAGAGAGATCTACAGGCAAGAGATGCTGGGGTTTTTTACCAAGGAAACTGAGGATGTCATTCTCTTTTCCTTTAAAAAAAAAAAAAAAAGAGGGGGTGGGGGAGGGGATAGGGAAGATACCATATAGAAGCTCTAATTTTCCTTCAAGTAACATGCTGAAAAATAATTATGCTAAGACTGTATTAAATTTCCAGGAAAGACAAAAAGGAGCAGATAAACAAAACTGTCCAGTAATAACATCGCTTTCCTCAGTCTTCTTCAGTTAAATCAGGAGAAAGCCCAAGAATGCTTTACTGCGAAAAGTTCCCCATGATAGGTTTCGCAGTGTTACAATTGTCTTTGAATATGTAATGAGGACACTGTACACCTGACAACCTGCTATTGGCAGGACATCTTCTGGTAACAGTCTTTGTCCTTGTGCAAACCGAGAAAAACTGCTGTCCTGGTTACACATTCAAATATTAATTTCCAACTTGATTTGTTGTTTTTAGCCTGCGTTTTGTAATGTGTAAATAGTTTGCTGTCAAGAATGTATTTAAGTCCGCTGTTACTCTAGCATTATCAAGAAATACTGTAAGTTCTTACATGGCTGGGCTTCAAATATTCCTAAAAGAGGAATTTTTAAAAACACATCACTTGCTAAAAATTTTAGATAAGAATTTAATTGATTTCCTAGAAGAAACTGTTTTGTGTTGTTAATGTTTTGGTCTTTGTGTGTATGTCTCCCTTTGCTTTCCTCCATTTCCAAGACCAATTAATTGGCATTCTGGTTTTAGTTTGCTTGTTTTCTATTCCAAATGTAATTTGAAATTCATGTCAATGTATATACTAAGCTACTCAGTCAGACGAGTCATTATGTCCACTGCTTTTACAGAACCACCAGTTGTATAAAAAACTTGAGACACATTGTTACATTCTACTACCCAGTTATGTGGCATACTTCTTAATTTAAGAGGAATTATTAGTTTACAAATGGAAAAGTACGAGTGCCTATTGAAATTGTATCATTAGTGTATGTGTGGCCAAGCTAGTGTATCAAATGATGGTTCTGACTTGAGAATTAGTCATTCCTCTGTGTATTAATACCTTCTTTCTTTTCTGTCTTTCTCGGTTGTTTCTGTTCCTGCTGGCTTTCCTCTGTCAATTCTCCAATGCTGCTCTATAATTAAAATTAATAAATAACAAAACCAACCAACACCGTAGTTATCCCCATTTGTCCCCGTTCAGCATCTTGCAGCCCCCTCAGTCCTCTGTCCTACAAGACCATGAACTGTAGGAATCCAGGAGAAAGAGCAAAACTTTATGCCTCTACTGATGCTGTTGGATGTAGGAGAACAACGCATCTTGCAGGGGTAAGCGTGCCAGTTGTAGGTAAGCTGGTGTCTCATGCTATGACCAACTGACTGCATTGCTTGTTAGAACAGGAATAGTTGCAAGGATGCCTGACTAAGCCTGATCCTCCCCTCTGCGCTGTCCCCACCCCCTCCAATTTGTTTCATAGTTGGCTGGGTTTTAGCTGAAATGTACTACATCATGGAGTGGCGTAGCCTGATTATGTGCCAAAGAATCTGTGTGAAAAAACATCCATGTTTGCAGAGTGGCTGCCTTAGCTGCTGGTGAAGCACAGAGGTAGTCAGAGCGTGTGCCCTTTTCTCAAGTGGATTCTTTGCTGCCTTTTAAGGCCCCAGCTGGTGGTGCAGCTTTTCCCTCAGTGGGGAAATCTTTTTTTTCTTTTTTTTTTCTTTTCTTCCCCAGCAACCTGTTTTCACAAAGCCTGTAGAACTTCGTATCTTCTGAGGCCTCCAGTAGATTCAGCTGAACCTCTGGGATAAAGAGGGGGGGAAGGCATGCACTCACATGTACATAAGCACACAGAGCACTGTCACTTCGGCTTTACTTTCTTAGGAGGCCAGGCGAGTAAACTTACCCTTGTTGAGAAGGAAGAGGTTGGTTTAGGAGCATGGTTTGTAAGCAAGGCTTCCCACAGATCACCTGCTCGTTCTAAATGATTTGGTAGCAGTGTGGGGACCTGAGCTTTCAGGGAAAATCAGAAGAGTGTGATACAGATTGAATTCACGTTGACTGCTTCAAGCCGACAGGATGCAGTCAGCTCCAGTTCAGATATCATTTGCTGAACCTGAGCAGTCATATCTTTGCTTGTACGCTACAGCCTGAGTTTGTTTAGAGTGTGAGTGAAGTCATCTCTGCAAATTATTGTGCAAGGGGTTCTTATGCTTTCATTTGGCCTGATGGGCAAAATATCAGGAGGCAGAGCTGCTGCTGACATACTTGTTGGAAGCGGTGTTAATGAAAGTCACATGAAAGCTGCCAGTACTTAGTCTTTTGAGCAGATGATAGTATTTTGAAATTTGAGGCACAGCATTGGGATGTATCTGTAGAGAATTCTCATAGTGTGTGCATAGTGCATTGTAATCTCCAGGGCTATCAGTTTAGCATCTCTTGTATCTTTCTTATTGTGAGTATTTGGGGTTTGGTTTATTGTTGTTGTTCTTTTTAATAAAAAAAAAAAAAAGAGGTTGATACAATTTGGTGGAGGAGACAATGTAAAAATGTTGTTAATACAAAATGACCAAGTTAAGAGCTGTTTTCAGTAGCATGTATGGTGAATCTTTTATTCTTCTGTAAACTTTTGTAGGAATTAGGTTTTTTTACTTTACTAATACGAAGAAAAATTTTCTGATGTTCTGTTTTCAAGACTAATGAAGTAGATCCAGCATAGAGAGTTATTGCTAGCAAGCCAAAATTCTTCTTCATTGTAATGCATTTATTCTGGCTGTGAATGCTTTGATAACTCGGGTGATTATCATAGTAATCAGTAGATATCTTGTAAATTACACTGCCAAAGAGCTGGCTAATTACTCTTGAGTAATGACCAGGATCAAGACCATTTATTATCTATATTAAGTTATGTAATGTTAACCATAATGACCCCCCAAACCCCTCTTGGATTTATGAAGATAAACCGAGGGTTTGTGTGCTCATGAAGTTGTCTTCAGTTCTCTCTTTCCAGTTGTTAACCTGGTTTTCAGTTCAGGGGATAAGCATTGCAGAGGTCTCAGCTAGTGAGGTTCTAAATCAGCGTGGTACACGTGCTGCAGGGGTTGAGCCTAAGCCCCAGCCAAGGTGGTGAGCAGCAGCGCCTCTGTATCATGTTGGCTGAGTGGCAGTTCGGTGTACTCTCCAGTATTCCCATTCTTTAGACTCCCAGAGTCCGAGCTCGTTATTCTAAGTTTTTAATCTGTAGCTATATGGATGAAGTATATAGATACCTAAATTCTGATATATTCCTTTAAGCCAGTAGTTCTATTAATACAAACCAGAGCTAGAACAGAAATACCTTCAAAAATAAGATCCTGAGATGAGAAATAAAGAAGGAAAAAGAGGAAATTGCTACCATGCATAAGAATCAATGGCAAAAAAGCATGTGCTGTGGAATCATCCAAGAAAAAAAGAATAGGATAACTGTTGTACTGCGTTTGAGGGCTTTGAGGGCATCTGTAGTGTTCACATATAAACATGAAAGCAAAAAGCGTGTGCTATAGAGGTACTGTGACTAAATGTGAGCCGTGTGTGTGTTAGTGTTTTGCTCTTTCTTCAAATGAAATCCAGGGTTTAAGGGGAGTAGTGGAAGGTACTCTGTGGCAATCAGCAAAGGTCAAACCTTAAAAGGTAACTTTTTGCCTGTGTAAAAATAAGCCTCTGTGAATTAGCCCATTATGTCTTAAGACAGTAGCGAGCATGATTAAGAAGCATTCTTGTTGTCAAATGCATATTTACTGACAAAGGTGGTGGCAGATTACAGGAGCTATATTAATGAACTTGTTAAACAGGCTGTAGAAACTACTGACTCAGCACTCCTTTCTCTCAGCCCCCCAACCCCTCATCCTTAACTGAGCTTGCTTTGCTTTCTTTAGCCGTGTGAACTCTGGCTTGACTTTTGTCTTTTTGTTTGCTGAACTACAGCCTGACAAAAAAGAAAAGGAGAGAGACCATTTGTCATCCAGCTTCTCAGCCAGCTTTAAAGGAGGTCATTTTTCTTCCAACCCCAAAGCTAGATCACCAGCTCCCTCTCCAGTTTGGTAAGACAAGTACACACTTAGCTGGACGTTGAGCTATAGGCAGCTGTTAATTAAATGTGAAACAGTGGAAACTTGTTTGGTGATGTAGATGTTTTCTCTCTGCAACAAAGGAAAGACATTCCTGGTTTTAGAAAAACATTACTACTGCTTTGAGGAAGGGGAAGGAGGAGGAAGTTACCTGGTTTCTTCCCTCTTGGCTGGGCTCAGTGCTCACACATCTGGAGAGTTACAGAGAGAAACATTTTGCCTGAAAGCTAATTGGTCACTACTGCAGTCCTGCTTGATAGCAGAGAAAGAGAGAAGCTGTTTTATTTTTAGCTATTGTAGTTGTAGAGGTGATTCGTAGGTGGTGTCCAGCAGAGCATGTCTAATAGTGATTGTCACTCTTTGTGGTTACACAGGCATGCGTCAAAGTCTTTGCCTTTTTTGCCTGGCACACCCAGGCAGATAACTTCCCCACCTGGTTCCTCCAAAGTTTCCTCTGCTCAGGCACGTCCTCCTTCTCCTGGCAACATCCGGCCAGCCAAAAAAGAGGTCAAACCAGAGAGTAAAAAGAAAAGACCAGAAAAGGAGGCTGAAAAGGCCAATGAGGAGACAACAGAAGAGAGTAAAGGAGCTTCAGCAGGTGCTGGAGAATCTGCAAGTCAGGAAGAGCTCACTGTCCAGGCAGAGCTCACTCAAGGTAAGGAGAGATCCTCCTTTAGGTTAAGGAATGTCTGAGTGTGTCTTACGTTCTTCCTTCCCTTCCTCTGAAGCAACATAGCTTTCAGTAGTTTTTTATCAAGTGTTAATCAAAATTCTTCAGAAGGTTCCTGTAGATGTATGTTCACTGAGGAAAGCGTAAACGGGTTGAAGCCCTCCTGCTTGTAACAGTCAAAACAACACGCCGACCTGCCTCGCAGTGTGGCTTCCCAGCCCTCTTCTCTGCCCTTCTGGATGGTGATTTTTTGTCACTCACATCATGACACAGCTTCTTTTCAAAGCGTTGAAGTAGAATAATAATGATCTGAAGATTAACGGTGCAGGAAGTCATCACACAAGGGAGTGTGAGTGGTGAGAATGTCCAGCGCTGCTGGACACTCAGTACAGTTGTGCTGATAACACTACCAGCTTACCTATATTATTGCAAGACTACTGCATCATGGGAGAGTTTAGCAGGATAAAACAATGCAGAGAAGAACCAAGGAGAAGAGTAAAGAAGAGTAGGCAGAATTTTTCAGGGAAAATGAGTTATTAAAAAAAAAAAAACCCAACAAACAAAAAACCCCACACCAACCCTGAAAAGCAGCAAGGCAGAAAACAATGTACACACAAAAAAACCCCAATGATCATAAACTGTAGGAAGGGCAAAAAGTAAACCTGAAAATGAAAAATGTAGGTTTGTTCTAGCAGGCATTTTAGTCCATTGTAAATACGGCATAAGCTGTCTGTGTGACCGTTGTGACCACTGGGATTCCCAGGATGGGTTTCTTAGGATTCTGAACTTAAAATTCATAGATTCACCTGTGATTGTCCTTCAAAAAAAACCTCTTAAGTATTAATAATTCTGCATTTAACTACAGGATATGTGGTTGAGGGTGGTGGTTCTGCGAGAAGACCTGACGTGAATGATTTCTTTTGTTAATAAGTTCTGTTACGGTTGTTCCAGTCTGATACCCAGGTCCTAACACACAAGGTGCAAACCCACAAAAAACCTAGAGATTTACAGTAATAAACAGGTGCATCTATTGTCTGTGGGCATGTAAAGAAGATATAATTGCCAAGTTAGCATGGGCTTTCACTGCTCTTCTGATAACATTTTGCCTGCTTCCTCTTAAGGAGAAAGCTTCCTTTTAAAAGGATTTCAGGGATACCACTGAGATAACTTTGCAAATGTTTACAAGCCGTAGTTCCCTAGTACAAGGTGCAGACCAGAGAGAAACATTGTCATGCTTGTTGAACAGTTTAGCTCAGGAGGAAGAGAGGATCAACTTCTTTGCAGAGGCAGTCAATATTTGAGTTTGTGACAAGGTCACTTAGTATGGAAACAGGTTATGCGTGCTAAAGATAGTTGAAAGTGAAGTAGCTTGTGTTCACAGCAAAGAAACAAGTAGTGGAGAGGGGCAAAAGAGGATACTATAGGCAAAGTGGTGTGCAGCACTTCAAATTGGATGTCTTTTGCCAAAGCCAGAGGAAGTGATGGTTGGGACCAAGGATTGAGACCTCAGGCCAAACACTTTACATGTGAGGTTCGAGGGCAAGTTTTGTACTGCAGATGGAGGCCCAAACTGCCAAAACTTAGTCACTGGTTGAAGGCAAGAATCTAGAGAGCGGCAAGCATTTGGAGCTAGAGGGACAGTGCCAATGTCTCCTAGGTCTGTGGTGCAGGCGAACATAGCTGATTTCTGCCAATTAACTGAACCTTTAACCTGTCTGGCTCAGCCACCTGCCAGCTGTGTAGTCACAGGAGCCAGGAGGTCAGCAGGTAATGATCACTGATGGAGCTATTCAGGCTTTTGCAGGCAAAGCTCACAATGACTTTACTAATACCAATGAAGTTTTAAAGCTATTTTGGGTGTGCCTGTGTAAGCTGTTGTCATCTTTTCTGACAGCAGGGCAGGTGTGCATTAAACAGGCTACTTGTTATGCTGCCAGCTTCGGCACCTGAGGCAACAAGTGAGCCCCAAGCAGCACAAAGCTGTGCTCCCTTCAGGAGGGCTCCCAAGCTTTAGAGTGATCAAGTTACGCTTTTATATTTGACCATCCCAGAATTTTCAGCGTTCTTAGCTATATCTTGGAGGTTAGCCCAGGTCTGGACTGTTCTCTAGGGCTGGACTGAATATCTGTTTCGGTAGCGTGAGAGAATAGTGCTCTGGTTGAGGCTAAACTGTGCCAGCTTGCCTCGAGGCTAGAGAACAGGCTCTGGCACTCTTTAAATTAACTGATATACATGTATCACTTGAATCCAAGGTGAACACCTGAAGCAGTTGTAAAAACTATGCAGGTCTTTCTATTTGGTAGAAGAGCAGAGAGGTCAGCAGATGTGAGCATTCAGCATAGAGAAAGCAGCTGAATTTGTGTTTGTATACATGACAAGGTGTAGGAGGGGGTAATCGGGGAGGAAACCTCTCTTGGAAGTTGTTAGTGAGGTGAGGAAAATGCTGTAATGTCCCAAAGGGTAGCTAGAAATGTAGATTTAAAAATCATCTCCTGGCTGTTCCTGATGACTTAATTTACATGTATCTTCCCAGGATCAGAATCTGATTCCATTGATGGTTCAAAGTCTTCCCTAACCGTGTTTGCCTGTGTTACCAGATACGATTACCCAGGGAATGCTTCCTTCAGTTAGCTTGGTTGTTGGTAATGGTCCCTGGCCTCTACAGAAGTGCAGCTGAGGTGCTCTGTATCTGTGCTAGAGAATGCCAGGCAAGCTTACGGAAAAGGTGAGCTAGCGTTTGACTTGAGAAAAACCTGTAATACCAACTGTTGCAGGTGGCCAAAGCTGGTTCTGGGGAAAGAATTTACATGAAGGCACTATTACAATTTGAACAGAAGCCATAGCGGCAAAGCTTGCTAAGAAGCTGTGTTCTGGTCCCACGAGTTGCCTCGAGTTGGAGTAACTGCAAAATTGATGATGGTTTGTGTCCTACTCGTATTGCAGATCATTTCAGACAGTTGATGTTTGAGGCCACCAAGTCACCAAAAATGACTGGTCTATCACCATAAAGTCAGGCTCTGCTCTTCAAATGTAGACTATCAGACAGAAGAAAATATAATACCACAATGTTTCATTTATGCTCTCCAAATAGAATTGAGCAAACTTAAGAAGCATGGTGGTGGGGACTTGCTGAGTCAGCATAACTCCTGTTGAGCACCCTTCAGCATTTATTCTTCTGACAGAAAAGATGATTTAACCTTTCAACTGGAGCTGCTTTCACATATCCTGTAAAAACAAACTTCCCTTGAGGAATATGAACCCCTAGCATCTAGAAATTTCTTCTTCCTCTGAATCATTTGTAAAACCATGTAAGCTTAAAAAATATTTTAGAGTATTTGAAACTATTTTCTGTTCCTTTCAAGAGTGTCAACTTGGCTGCTGTGTCTGTACAAACCAGTTTTCCTTCCCATCTGTTTCAGCAGCCAGCCCATCCCTACCTCCTGCTCCGCCAGCTCTTTCTCCGCCTGCAGCCCCCACCAAGCCCTCTGCAGGTACCACTGACCCTGAAGAGGCAACGAGGCTGCTGACTGAGAAGAGACGTCTTGCCCGTGAGCAGCGGGAACGGGAGGAACAAGAAAGGAGGGAGAGAGAAGAGCTTGAAAGGTGACTCTAGACCTCTGCAGTGGAGAAGATCTGTTTTCAGCAGCCTCCTAGCAGCTTCCTGTGTATATTCTGGTGTTATATTGTGATACATGAAGCACAGTACTGAAGTGCAGGAGGCACAAGTTCCTCCCTTAAAACTAATTCTCCTGTTGGGGGTTTTTTGTAGGCGCAATATATACCTAAGCAGATCTGTAAGGTTAAAACTTATCCCAAATAGTGCTTTCATATAGGACAGGAGGAGAGAGCAGATCCTTGCCATAGTGATTCGTTGTTTCCCCGTTGACTAACAAAGCTGTACTTGTTTATTCTACATAGGGAACTCTGCACAGCTGTTTTCAATTTTGTGATGGGGACAATGTCTCTTACTTTGAATTGTAAGATCTCTACCATGGCTGGTGTTTAGGTGTCCAACAGCTGTGACTTAAACCTCTGTTTCCTCATTTAAAATAAGAGGCTAATTGATGTGTCTTGTCTTCTACTGGAAAATGAGTAGCCCATCTGGATACTTACAGCTGTGGCTATAACACAAGTTGAGCGCCCTTTTTAGAGGGGTGTGCCATGCCTCTGGAATTTGTTGGAGTTCTTTAACAACATTGCTGAATATAGGAGCAAGGCAGACCCAGTTAAAATAGTTTGGCTTTCCAAAAGGCTCACAACATGGTCCCTCTCAACAAGGGGTTATAAAGAAAATAAGCTGCTGTGGCATGAGAGTAATATGGTGAATAAATACTAAGACTGAAAGATGGAAAACAAAAGGTAAAGAATAATCAGCTTTCACAGTGAAAGAAGTTTCCAGTCTCTGTTCACTGCCTTCATAAATGAACATGAAAGGAGTTGTAGCCAGTGAGATAACAGTGGTCTGCAGTGAGATAAAGCAGTTGTGAAGAATTTCAGACCTATCTTTCATTGCTGAGATTCAAGATGGAAGCTGAACTGCAGTACTACTAAACATAAAGGGATGTGTATAAGGAAACAATCCTAACGTAACTTACGTGGTGGTAGTGGTGGTCTCTGGGTTAACTATTTCTGAGGGAAGACATCTTGTTTGGAATTGAGTATATGAAAGTATCAGATGAGTCATGGTCAACAAAATAATGAACTGTTACAAGTTACTGGAAAGGGGAAACAAAATGAAAATGGCATTCTGTACTATCCAAGGTGAATCTACTTCTTGAATGCGGAGTTTTATATTTTTTGAGATGGTAGATTTAGTAAAACAAGGAAAATAAGTGCAGACAGACATCAAGGAAGATCACAAGTACAGAACAGCTCCCATATGAAAATCTTGTAAACAGGTGAGGATTCTTCAGCTGGGAAGACCATCTGTCCTCTACTTCTGAGTGGGGATATGATAAGCTATGAAGTCCTAAATAATATGGGTAATGTCAAAGGTGAAGGGGAAAAGTTATTCACTCTCATAATACAAGGATGAGGGGACATGAAGTGAGGTTAGGAGGTAAGGTAATGTTCAAAAATCAGCAGAATTAGATACTTTTTTTAAAATTCAGGAGTCATTGCTGCAAGATAAGGTGGACACCAAAAATATACACTATTTCAAAATATGACCAAATGAAATTACAGAAAGTAGTGTTTTGCAAGATGCATTAAAGTCAATGATACTGTTTCTGATTCAGAAAGTACCAGAGTCATAGATCAGTGTAAGCCAGGTATATGCTGGAGAAATATTGGTGTTGCTTTGCAAAGTTTTTATGTTCCATAGGGCTTTACATCTGGCCCTGCTGGAAGCAGAACAGATGACCCAGTTCAGGTGTTTCGGTGTTCTTGCAAATGAGAGCGGTGCAACCTTTATACAGCTGTTCTGCAGTGCTGGTGTCTTGGGTCAGGATTTGCTGTTGGTTTGGGTTTTTTTCCCCTCTTTTTTTTACGTATTATGCTTGTTTCATGATTGCAGGCAAAAGAAGGAGGAGCTTTCACAGAGGATAGCTGAAGAAAGAGCTCGCCGAGAGGAGGAAGAAGCTCGCAGACAGGAAGCAGAAAAAACACGAAAGGATGCAGAGGAGGAGCGGGAAAAGGAAGAACGGCTGCGCCGGCAGGCAGAAGAGAAAGAACAGAAGGAGAAAGAAGAGATGGAGCGCGTTCAGAAACAAGTATGCTCACATCCTGGAATTTCTGTGCCAGTCTGGTCAGCAGTGAAGTGGATGAAGCAACAACTCTTATGCAGCACCTAGATTAGAGGGATATCTAAAACTTAAGTGCTATATATAAAGTGAATGGGGTTGTGGCAAAGCTCACTCCATGGAGTGCCTCAAAAAGTAAAGATACTTATTGTGGTAGGAAGTTGAGTCTTGTTTTTGTTTTGTTTTTTCTTCCCTGTAGAATTTATTTATTTAGGACAAATCCTTTCTTATTCCTGATAAATTATGATGAAAAAAATCAACAGAGTTGTATTGGGAGATTTTAATGAATGGTGTTATACCAGAGAACTCTTTGTCCACACAGTTGTAGAACGTCTAGATGCCAAGATAACTAAGTGTTCAGAGTGTCAGAGACGTGGCACTGCTGAGTTCTAATCCTATGCCAAATATTGCTTTTGTGTGGGGCTGGTGGGAAGGGGTAGGTTTTGATCACTTCAGTTGAGCCAAGGAGAACCTTTACCTGGTAAAGGTAAATGTTCTCAAAACCTTCTTCCAGCTACTCAAAAGACCTAACAGTAAATAAACCAAAATACCACTTTTCAAGTGCTCTTGTGTTTGATGGGCATAATGTTGGTTTACCAGCTTCAGGAGAAGCTGTGGTAAACAGTTTTGGTAGGATTCTCCTCTTCTCACACATACTCTTGCTTTTGTGCCTGTGCTTTCTCGCCCCCAAAATTCAGCACTTCAGTCTGCCTCGTCAGTTTTTTCTTTTGGTATATAATTAAATGTATGCTTCCGAAAATACATGTTTAAAGGATCATGTTAGTGAATACAGCTTAGAAACTGCAGTTTTCTTTTTCAGAAGATGTATGCTGCTTCCTTTGAAATGCTTAACTGAGGTACATCCCCAGTTTAGAACTCGGAGATAATGCATGGCCAAGTTTTTTTTGGATGTTACAGCCTTAAATGAACGGTTGTAGTAGTTCCATCATACAATACTGTCACTGGAGCAAGGCCCCTCTACGGTGTATTCCAGACAAGTTTTATATTTAATCAAATAAGCAGTGGAAAGATGGAAAGCTCGCGCAAATGTACCTGTGGCTGTTTGTCCTTGGTCTCATTAAGCGACAACTGTGGCCAAATAAAACATTCTACTGCTTTTGTTTGGGACTCAAAAACATCCACCACTCCAAACATGAATCTCTTGAATACTTTCCTGGCTGCTGCTTCAACACTGAAGGTTAGGAAATGTATTCCTCATTTGTCGCCTGCTGTGCTTCCATGCACATGACCCAGAAAAGGCACAGAACCAAATACGATGTCCATTGTTTAGTTACGCATCTCTTAATGTTATGCAAAACATGGAGATTAATCAAGAAATGAGCAATTCAGTCTGAAAAGATTGTTGGTGATTTGTAAATCCCAAAAGTGTCTTTTCATGGTGTTCTAGATAACGCATAGTTAAGCAGATAGCAGTGTAAATTTGTCCTTAAATAGCAAATTATTCCTCACTTCATTTTCTTTTACCATCAACTCAGAAAGAAGAGGAAGCTCGCCTACGGGAAGAGGCAGAGCGGATTCGATTAGAACGTGAAAAGCATTTCCAAAGAGAAGAGCAAGAGCGCTTGGAAAGGAAGAAGGTAACTCAGTACATGCAGAGAAACTGGAATTCATTTTGCCTTAGCAGTTTGCTTTCACCTCAGCTGTAGAAAGTTATCCATGATAGAAATATTCCCACAGAAAAGCTGCAGTCATCTGCGTAGCCTGATGTGAAAGTGAAGGGAACGTTGCCAACAGTAATAAATAATTCATCTTTTTGCAATAAACAGATGCAACTGATAAATGACAAGCAGTTGTGGTTTAGGAGACACGTTTTTAAATTTAAATTAATACCAGCAAACTTTATTTTACCCCTTTACATTTCATTGTAGAGGCTTGAGGAGATCATGAAGAGAACTAGGCGTGTAGAAGCTGTAGATAAGGTCAGTGCTGCTACTTAACGTGTAAATACTGGGCATATTTCACTTCTTTAGTGCCGTTTTTAATTTACAAAACTGTGCTTCCTTTGTAGAAACCCAATGACCAGCAAAATGGACATATATCAAAGGCAAATATTACTGGAGAAGCAGGTATTGTGTTTAACTGTGCCCTGGGCACAACCAGTGAATAAATGCCCACTAATCACAATGATTTGCAATACGTTTCTGAAGCTTGGCACACTAATTGCAGTAAAGAAAACCATGAGAGTATAACTGAAGTCTTAGCAAACATTATTTATTTTGACTTTCCACATAGGTAGTTAGCCGTTACTAAATAAGTCAGCTGTTTTAGCAACTTTGTCACATTGGTGTTTAACTAAGCTTACCAAGCTTAATTATTTATAAGGTGAAAAGAAACAAATGCTCTTCTGATTCTGATCACAAAAGAAACAGGTTCTGTAGTTTCTTTTGCATAGTATTACACATCTGGTTATTGCAGACTTATTCCATTTTCCTAAAGGGTTATTTCATCTCAGTCATCAAAACAAACTGTTCATTATCCAAACATCTCCCTGTGAGTTCTCTCTTCCACATCTGCGTCCTTATTCACTTGGTCATAATTTCTATTTCTTTCAAAATTCAGCTCCTACAAAAGTTTAGAGTCTCCGTGTCACGCCCACACTTTCAGTCTTCCCTTCTATTCTGTTCCCTCTAGTCTTTTTAGGTAGTTTTATAAAAGATTTTTATTTTGCTTCCTTCATTGTAAGTATTAAACAGCTCGTATGCAACTACCACCAAGTATGAATTAGCAGTATTTAAAGATACTGAAGTCAAGCTATCAAATGGCTTATCCTATTGTAGCATAACACATTAAATGACATCAATCTTTATTTATCTTTTGTGTTTGAGGCGAGTAACATAGAGGACAAATAACAGCACTGGCTGGGTGTACTGCTTTTTTTTATGTTTGAAGTGGATGCTATAATTAGCACTACCAGGAAACCTTTTGACACAGATTTTATTACGTGTGTTTGGAAGTTATTTGTTTACTTATTATTTTAAGGGTGAAAAAAGTTTGGGAACCACTAATACAGAATGCATCTGGGATGCCATCTTTTGCTGCAGGCACTGTTGAAGGTGCTATAGACCACTTAAATAATTCTTGAAGCTATAAATGGTTCTCTGACCTGTGGCTAGCGCTTTCCTGCCTGAGGTGGAAGACAAGTAGTCAGTTTCCGAAGGCATATGAGAATTTGGACCTCCATTTCCCCAGGCCCAAGGGAAGGCTGGAGTCCTTGAGTGATTGGATAAAGAGAAAACTGCCCTCACCTTCAGGGCTGCTCTACTGTTCGGCTTTGCTTTATCTAGATATGCTATTGAGTTAAAGGTATGAATGAATGGGCATATTTCACCTAACTCTAACTTTACATATCATGCTCTAACAGACTTCTGACTATTCACAAATGGTGATTTTTTTTCTTTTTTTTTTTTTCCAGTCTTACTGTTTGGCAAAATATGAGGAGACCTTTGTGGGAATGGTCAAATCACACAATGAAACAAAATCCATCACCTTTTTGTCATTTGTTTGGCCTCTCCTTCAAAATAGGAGATAACTCTGCCTTTCCAAAGCAGAACAACTTTCTTCTGCTTTTCTCTTTAAAAAGTTAAAGCCAATGTATTTGCCTCTTGTTCCACTTGTAGAAGCACCAAAACCTGTATTGCTAATACTTGTGTAAAAACTTGCCAAAGATCAGACTGAGACATTTGGTGTAAAAGACTTCAGCTGAGCACTTAGAGTGTAGCAAGACAAGAGCGGCTGAAGGGGGGGTCCCCTCAGGTGAAGTTTTGGGTAACAGAAATGAATGTGTCCAAGCCTATGAATGCTCAATTGTCCTTGTGATTATCGTAACAGATATTAGTATGGGTTGGGTGCAATTGCTTCCTTTTATCGAGCTGTATGTGGATTAGCGTGACTGTAGTTACAGTGCAGAAGGCTGTAGTTGTACTTCAAAAGAACACCGTGGGGCAGGTCAATAACATTTATCATGTGGTCTTTGCATGAGGCACAAGGATACTCTAATTTTATGCTACTCTCTACAGCATTTTATAGTAGTGATTTGGTATTTGTTGAAAGAGGTATCCTTCCCATGGAGATTTTTTTTCCCCCTTGATTTCCAGTTACAGTCAGTGATCAACACAGGAACCAAGAAATACCACTGTGTGGAACTGATGATGTCCCAGTGTTCTCCTATTCCAATCTCTATTGCTGCTTGAAAAGTGCCAGCATAATATTCTGTCAGATACCAGCCTATTTTGACCATTGGCTTATGTGTTGGAATCGTGTATATCATTGTAAAATGTTTATTCTTGCCCGTAAAGCTATAGCATTGAAATCTGTGGCATTTAATTCAGACCTGAAACAGGGCTTGTGTGCCCAAAACTTGACAAAGGAGGTGGGGTGGGGGAGGGAGGGATGTGGAAACTATTTTTTAAACCTGTAGCTTGCCTTGACTGTGCTGTCTCTTGTAGGAGATGTTTTATCCTACTCTGCAGATAGGTGATGTTGCTGGGGTTTATGAAGACCTGTTTTCTCTCTCTAGTTGTAAGCTGTCCTGCATCTCCCTTGGAACCCGCAGGAGGACCTCAGCTTCAGCCGGCAACGCAATCTCCGCACAACGGGAAACCTGTCACTTGCACGCGTGTGATTGTTTCACAGCAACCCCCAGTAAATACGGACAGGTAAGAACATTGCTAAGTGTCGGAGGGTGTTTAGAGGATGAGGGTTACGAGAGTAATAAATGATTTTCAGGTCCATGTATTCATTAACCAAGTAAGAGACAGCTGTTCAATCCGCCCTGTTTCCTGTTTATCTTTTCCTGTGTTCAGAAAAGAACTTTATCATCTTTCACTTAACAGTAACCCATTTGCTGACTGACAGGGAAGAATTTTGTAAAAACACAGCACGTTCTTTGCAGTGTTTGGAACAATGTGTTGTTTGCCAGCAATTATCACATAAATTGAAACTCAGTGGAAAAGGCAATTTTCTTCTGTTCCTTTCCATGAATTAAGCTTTATAAAAACCACTCTGGATTTGCAGTGCATTTTCTTGATTGGAGTAACAAACTCTCTGCTTCAGCCTAGGTGTTGTGATTTCTGAACTGCTTGAAGTATTAGCAAGTCTTGCTTACAAAGGAAAAGTCCCTCATGTGAGATACAGAGCTATTCATTTTGGCTTTGCATTTTAAGAAAACCCTTTGTCCTCTATAAGGAGAATTTGGGGAGGCAGATACTTAACACTGGGAGTTCTCTGAGGCCATGAAGTGAGTCACTCGGACTTTGAGAAATTGTTGAAATGCTTGAAACCTCGGTGTTGAACCGAGTGAAATCTGTTACATAAGCATGAGCTGTCAGTTACTTCCATTTCAGTAAAGCAGAAAGCCAAATAATCCCTTGGTCCTTTCATGTTTTATGCAGGTAGTGCCAGAATATGCATGCAAAATCCTGAATGTGGGAAGCCGTCGCGCGGGTTGTAATAGGCGGTAGGCTTCAGGGTGTGATTGGCACTAATTGAAGGAGGAATTTGCCCTCTGTCGGTCCCTCCATATGCCTGGGGGATCTCAGCCTGCTGTCATGCTGACAAGGATGCTCCTGCTGAGGGAGGTTCTGTCAGTGACACTGAGCTGCGTTGGATGAGCTGCCCAGACCTGCCTCATAAATGTCTCGGGCAGCTATTAAATGTTAATCGCTCCCAGCCTTATATGCACCTTGATGTTTGTAATCTAAAATGTGCCACGCTATCATGTGGCATTATAATCTGTGTGGAAGGAACCCCAGGGTGGCCAAAGTGAAGAATGAAGAAATGAGATTGAAGAACAGTGACAAAAGTAGGAAGCGTACATAAGGCTGTGGAAGGGGAAACTGGTGCGCCAGGTTGGGGTGTGGAAGGAATCTGCTTTAGAGGTGCATCCACACTGACTGGGAAGGCAAAGGCTGAAGCACTTGGTAGCATCCTGCTTTAATCTTAGCCCAGGTAGCCTGAAAAACTGTTGTAAGGAATACATAACAGCACAGATTTTCATTGTATGGTAAAAGTCACAGGTGCCAACACCGCTGCTACTGCATCTCATGTGCTGCGGTTGTCTGGCATCTAGGTATGCCTGATCCTGTAGCACACACAACAGCAACAGGTGGAGGTGGTCTCTTGGGTGAGCACCTCACTCCAGTCCCAAGAAAGGTTTGGCTTTGGTCTGGAAAAGACTTGAGCGTGTCATAAGGGCAAGACAGCTTAGGTGTCTGACCAGAACTTAGAAAGGCTTTGCCTGGCGGGGGGGGACACCTGTGGCATCTGCTTGTATGGGAAGGAAGAGGGAGTGAAGGAGAGGAGTCGTCTTAAGGCCTAAAGCAACAGTCAGTCTCATTCCCCTCCTACAGTGTAGGGAGTGTGGGAAGCTTCACTGGCTCTAGGACAGGAGAAGTGTCAGTGTCAGTGGGTCTGGTTTTGTACAGCACTGGGGTCTAGCCTGAATGTGTGTCTTTGAACAAGACTGGTGTTTGGTATTCAGTGACCAAACCTGGCATACCTATAGCTGGGGTCACTCCCCAGACACTGCAGGTGCTCTGTCCCTTGCACCCATAGTGTGGAAGGAGGGTGACTTGGGAAGCTGCTAGATGTTTGTGCAAAGATAAAGAGTTCTACTCGGGGGCCATGGTAGGAGGTTGCCTGACTGCTTTCTGTGCTGAAGCTTCATCCCTGTTCCTCCCCATTGTGTCATCCATCCGTGTCAGCTCTGTGGCTGGGATTCAGTTGGAAACAGCGTGCTTGCTTCTGTGGTCACAAGAATTCTGGAGGAGTGAAGGCAACTGATTTCAATACTTCACCATTCTCTGTTGCTGCTTTTGATCAGCAGTGCAGATCTTGCTGTGCTGGAACTTCATTAGCTTTCCAAGATAATTGATCTTCATAAACCCTAATGAAAATGCTGTGATCTGCTGCATTATTTACTGTATATCTATTGTCAACAATTATTAGTTGTATTAACATTTATTGCAGATGATAGATTGGTGCAATCATCTACCCCACCTAATAGTCTGTCAAAATTTTTATTGGTATTCCTACTCCTGTGTGTTAAACAAATGAACATTAATCAATTTTCCGTAGGCTTACAGCTTTACTTTGTATCATCAAAGAAAAAAGATATATTTGTTTATGAATTGAGCTGGTTTACCATGTTAGCACTCGAGGTTTTCAAATAGATCTTACATGAACTCTCAGTTCATAGAAACAATTTCTTTTTTCGTGGTTGTCTGAGTTAAAATGATGTGTCTGAACATGAATGTGATTTTTGTGGTATGTAGTTTTAAGTGGTGCTGCAAGGGTTCTGATTTTGCCACCTGTGCTTGCTTCTGAGTATCTTCTCCACAAGTAAATTGGGTTAAACAATTTAATGCTCAAATGCTAATGAAGAA